TAAAATATTAGATGTTGGCACCTCGCAGCATGGTGGCGCAACTGGTAGAGCTGCTGCCTCTCAGCGAGCAGGTCCCTGGTTCAAACCCCGGTCCAGGGGCCTTTCTGGGTGGAGTTTGCATGTTCTCTCCGTGCATGCGTGGGTTTTCTCCGGGTGCTCCGGTTTCCTCCCACAGTCCAAAAACATGCATGTTAGGCTGATTGGTAACTCTAAATTGTCCCTAGGTGTGAATGAGAGAGTGAATGGTTGTTTGTCTCGTTTGTCTCTATGTGGCCCTGTGATGGACTTGCGACCCGTCCAGGGTGTACCCCGCCCCTCGCACAGTGATTGCTGGACATGGGCACCAGCGACCCCGGTGACCCAAAATGGAATAAACGGGTAAAGAAAATGGATGGATGGATGAATGTTGGCACCTCCACATCATTGCATTCAGTTGTTATTCACAATTTGTTTAGTGTCCCAACTTCTTTGGAATCCAGTTGGTAGTTTTGTAAGTTAGAGACTGATAATGTTCCACCCAAGAAGCAGCTTCTGGGGCTGAGAGCCTTACACAACAGTGCAAAATATTCTGGTTCAAATATTGTTGAAATAAAATGTCTATGTGTTAAATGTTTACAGTTTTCTAGATTTGGGACTTATCTATTGAGTTATAGCTCAGAGCTTTTGTATGTATGCAAAAGCTTTATGTAATATGCAAAACTGGATCATTTTCCTCAATAAATAAATGACCAAGTATAATGTTTTTGTCTCATTTGTTTAACTGGGTTATCTACTTTTAGGGTTTGTGTGAAAATCTGATGATGATTAGGTTATAGTTATGCAGAAATACAGAAATTTCTAAAAGGTTTGCAAACTTTCAAACACCACTGTATATGTTGTGACATAAAATTATGCTTAAAATGTATTAAAAATGTTGACGTCCCCACATGTAACCATCTGGAAAGTGCATGTAGGATAATGCAGTTCAATGTTTTATATTTTTTCTTCTTCTTCTTTCGGCTGCTCCCTTCTTTTAGGGTTTGTCAAAGCAAACTAACTCACACGAAGACTTGGCAATTATATTTACCACAGATTTTCCTGACTCAACCACAGACCACCGAGCTACCACAGCCCTCTGTGTGGAGCAGAGAGCTGCTGTCTAGGGTGCATGGGGGGAGCAGATGGTGGGGGTTAAGAGCCTTGCTCAAGGGCCCAGAGTAGGGCAAGCTAGGGTGGAGGCAGGTGTGCATGGGTTCACCTATCCAACCCACATTTTGATGTTGTCGATACGGGGAGTTGTCCCACAGGCCCACCTTCTCTAACCTCTGCGCCACCACTCCCCACATAATGCACTTCTAATACACTCTGCAATTTTAATTTATCTACAAAACCCAAAGACAAATGTGTTTCAAGCATTACGTGTTAGTGTGGACCATTGATCAGTTCCCAATAACGTTTTAAACATGAACTTGTATGATCATGTATGATCAAGCATGTTATTGTAGAGGTTCAAGTACGTCACACTGTGCAGGCAAAAATGACGTCATGAAGGTAAATAACTCAGTGTCTTAATAAAACAGGTGCAGAAAATAAAGGGAAAAGTTCTTAAGTTTGACCTTAACTCAGTACGTTGTCAATTTAATATTTTGACATTTTTATCTACTGTGACCAGCATTTTGAACTTATTTAACCAAATAAAAAATAAAAAAACAAGAAAATGAGTTGTAAATGTTTCCTTTTTCACTAGTTGTTTATTAAACTAATAATAAATAATAATAATAAACTAGTTATTTATTGAACTTAAACGTAAACTAGTTGCTGTACTTATTTATTTACTAGTTGTTGGGGTTTTTTTGTTTGTTTTTTTTCCTCACATGTTGCAGAAAATCAACAACGCAAACTGCTTCTGGGATATTCTTCCTAAACAGCGTAAACAAGTAGTTCTCCATTTTCACCACAAGAGGGAGCCATTTGCTTTTGTTTAAATAGAACGCCACATGAGACTGGTTTCAGTAAAGTGTAGAGTAATTCGAGAGCTCTAAACCAGTCAAGCATTTGATCTGCTTCATCCAACTTCCTGTTGGTTATCAGATTAATATTGATGTTTGTCAGTGCAGCTTTTTTAATCAGGCACAACATGAGCTTATTGTTGTAATAATACATATATTTTTCAGGATTATATTTTGCAACTATAAGCCCCAAAATTATTATCTTCACTGTATTTGAAACTCTTTTTATATTTGTCTGTTTTGTACATTTTTGGTAAAATAAACAAAGACTACCACTTCATCAATGTTATATTTTCTGCTTAGGACATGTTTTAATTAAAAAGCAGTGAAATATAATTCTGCATTATATCTTTTCTTCATACTTTATTTTAATTGTAGCTGGTTTATTCTGAAAGTCTACTACATGTAATGTGATTTATCTAAGCTGTCTCTGTTTTGTTTTGCTTTGTGTTTTCATTTTAAACTGAAAGCACTGAGCTCTGTAAAATAAGTTCCTTTACAGTTGTGTACATCAAGTCATAAACAAATTCTCTCAGAAAAATATATTTATCGTTAAATCAATAAACTAAAGCAACAACGCCATCAGGTCAGTTATCGTCATAGGATGAGTTGACAGGACATCATTGGAAGATTTATTATGATAAACCATTGAATAGATCTTTATGAGGAGGAATAAATCATATATTTTTGCTCAACTGCCTGAATATACGTTCATTCATTCAACCTTTATTTACACAAGTTAATCCCATTGAGCCTCGAGGACTTATTTACAAGTTGGAGATGTGCAGGTGAGCAGTGGCGCTTCTTGTTGTTTCTGCGACTGACTTTGACCTCTGACCTGTCTGCAAGTCATGGGGAACTTTATACGTACTGTATACTTTATACGTACTGTATACTTTATACGTACTGTATACTTTATATAGATATAAGGAAAATAAACAAGTGGGAGATGGACAGAATGTTGTGTCTTTAGGAGAGCAGCACAGTGGCACAGTGGTTAGAGCTGTTGCCTCTCATAAAAATGGTCGCAGGTTTGCATCCAGGATTTAAAGCCTTTTTAAATGGAGTTTCCTTGTACTCTCAGCACATCAGTGAGTTTTCTCCGAGTACTCCAGTTTCCTCCCACTTACCAAAAGCATGCATGTTAGGTTAACTGGTAATTCTAATTGTCCCAAAGGGGAGCATGTGAGTGTGTTTTTTTGTTTGTCTCTGTGTCCTTGTGATGGACTTGTGACATGTTCAGGATGCACCATGCTTTTTGCAGTGACTGCTGGAGACACCAGATCACCCCGTGGGGAGCTGGGAACAGAGAAGCAGGTAAAGAAACTAGATGAACGTCTTTAGGAAGTGGAGGGTGGCTGTTTTCCAGAAAAGACGTGAGAGATTTATCCTTCAGTCGATCATCTTCTGGGTGTCCAGCTGATGATACCAGAATCAGTGGTGCTAAAATACAATTTAAGCATTAATTTTTTTATGGATTGAAGTAAAGAAATAGAAACAAACTCTGGCTTTGTGACGTCAAAAGAAAAGAATATGTAAATTTGGTTCATTGCTAAGTTGTCTGTTATGCGTAGAAACACAGCACTTATTTATCCCTTGAGTTCTGCCTGTTTTTGAAAGACAAAAAAAAAGAAGTATTTCTCTAGAAATAATTAGGTAATGGACTATAAATGTGTGAGGAAAGTATAGTCATTAAATTACAGAAATGCCCCAGAAAACCACTGCCCCAGGACCACTTTAAAATATTACTAGAAAGTCTAGAAACAAAATGGAAAGAAGTGAGCATCCATGAATAAAAGGTTTTGCACAATACTGTGCAGAGAGTAGGAACTGTGGCTTGTCTTTGCAAAAAGGAAGAACATAATAATTCAATGAATATGTGTTGCTTTATGTATGCATGATACGTAACTTTATTCAGTTTGCATTTCCTGTGAAAATGCAGTGTGAATCCTTATTGCTGAATGATTTTTGCTAAAAGCTGCTGAAAACGTTTTCATCATTAAACTATTAAAGTGAGTTGAATTGAAACAGCTGACATTTGCTGAACTCTGGAAAATAAAAGTGGAAGGCAGCAGAAAAACAGCAGAAATTTGTAGAAATAGCTGAATAGAACAGAAATGAGATTAAGGTGAAATTGGCAGACAGAGGGTTAGATGATATGGATTCATGTGGATAAAGTTAGAGGACATGGAGGTAGATGGAGTGAGGAGAGAGGATGCAGGAGACAGAGATGGAGGAGGATGACGAGTCACCGTGGTGACCCCCTGAAGAGGGAAAAGCCGAAAGAAGAAGTCAGAGATAGGCTGATCAGATTACAACAATTCAGCAATTAGGATTTTTTTTTTAAGAAACTGGAATTAGCAGGGGAAAAAAAACTACAGTTAGCCAAACAGTTGCTAAAAAGCAAAAACAACAAGCTGAAATGATCCAAAACAGGCTGAATAAAGCAAAAGGTTCATTTTTTAGAAATATCACAAATGACACAAAAAAAATGCAGAAAAAAAAAATACTAAAAACAGATTTTGAAAAATCTAAAAAATAACTGGACAAGCAGGGAGGAGGGATGGATTTAACAGAAAGAAGCTGAAAGGAGCATGAAAAGCAGAGATTAGCAGAAAGAAGCTAAAAGAAAACTAAAGAAAGCTGGAATTTGCACAGCTAAAAGCAGCAGAAAATAAGATGAAATAAGCTGAAAGGATCTGATATTCACACAAAGAAGCTGAATAAAGCTGAAATGAGCAGCAAAAGGCTGTAAACAGCACAAAGGGTTTGAAGGATGTGGATGCTCCATTCGTTTTCAATGAGTAAAACGTCCGCAAAAGCTAAATATTTCAAAAAGTAACCATTGCACAAATACCTAAAAGTCCTAGCAAGAAGGTCCTGAACGTTTTCATGTACGAATTGTTGAAATAGCACACAAACAAAACGAGTTACGTGTCGAAAAACGAGCGGAAGAGAAATGGATCTCTATAATGATGTAGGACATCCGCGGAGGGATACGGTTTTGACAGACCGACGCACACCTCGGTGTAGCTGCTAGATTGAGGTTTCCGGGCAACTCGGCAAAAGCTCAGCACGTCCGCACGCATTCCCTGAACCGTAGATTCATTTTATTTCTCTTCCGTGGTCTGATATAGTTTAATTTAAACTGTTTCAGCAAAATAACCCGCTCTTGGGTAAATAAATCTTTTGGCATCGTTCGCAGAGTTTAAACAGCCAGCGGGACAATGGTGAGTAGCGAGCTAACATCATGTGCGCAGCCATGCTAAAGCTAACAGGCTAATCGCTGCATTCAGTCATACGTGTTGACGTATAGCCTCTGATAACCTTTTAATAAGACAAACTAAAACAGTTCGACCTGGATTTTGCTTGTTAATGTTTAAAGGCACGAGTGAGCGCTCGTGTAACGTTTTATTTTCACTTGACTTCATTTTGCATCAGCAAGCAGCTAACGGCGGACAACCATTTTCTTCAGTATAAATAGTTTTCAGCTGTGCAGCAAAGTGACATTTGAGAGGAAACACGCCGACAGTTTTGTCGATATTCGACACCAAACATTTGCTGGTTTGCAATGCGCGGTTGTAACGCACACGCGTCAAGGTTTGTAGCATTCTTTTTATTTAATTATTCCGTTTTCGTTTGCTTTGTGGGCGTGGTGCTGTTTTGAAAGGGGATGCTGTGTAAAAATAGACCCTCCAGGGTGAAATAATCCGCGTCGGTAATCCTACATTAAATACATCAACGCTGCGGGGGGAAATGACCTAACAACCATTTTGTCTTTCCACATAATCGGGGATGGCTTTGACCGTAGTTTTGACATGCGCAACAAGCGCAAAACAAAATGGTTATAATCTCTGCGGAGTGGGATTACATAATAATCCAGGTAGCAGCTTGCCGCTCAGGTTTAGTTGCAGGAGCTGCAACATTTTTGGTCATGCCACCTCCCCTCGGTTACGTATTGCGCCACAACGTGAAACCCGCATTCTGCTTCTGCTGGATGACACCCACCCCGCATTGAACCAAAACATGCACGGTGCAGCAGCCTGACGTGCACGCAGTGCATCCTCCAAAATGGGCACAGTTAAAAGAAATGTCTCTCAACTTGGAGCATGTTGCAGATGATTTAAAACCTCTTGCATGAGGACAGTGAAATTCATGATAACCGCCTGTTTTTATGATCTGTTTTTGACAGCGCTCAGAGCTGACACTGCTTGCTTCAGCACCATAAAGATCTTTGGGCTCTTGACAAGAGTGGATACTCTGCGGTCTTTCGTACCCCCTCCTCCTCCCCCCTCGCCCAAGCCAACAGGGTGACTCGTTGAATTTGAGTGGAAGAACACATGGCGTTACCGACACCTCGGGCGAGAGCAAACGTTAGCTTTAATCTCCTTGGTCTGGGGAGAAAAAAAGTACAGAGTTGTTGTAAATGTGACCCGTACTGATGAAATGAGTCACAACGAGGATGTTATTTACAAATTCTCCATCTCGAAAGCATCGAAATGAGACGTTTTGGTGATTTGTCACCTGGCAACAAGCTAGTTTTGTTTATGAGCGTGCTGGTATGAAAACTTACTTTTTATTGGTCTGGAGCGATTTAATATTTAATTTTTTTTTTATTTTATTTTATTTTTTTTTTTTAAGGAGTCCTCAATCTTCATAATGATGCCAAACATTATACAAAGGGATTTCCCTGCGCTATGGAAGAAAATGTGGTCAATTTCAAAGGAAATTAAGATTATTATTGACAACAGACCTGTCGAACTTTGTTTTAAATGCAGATTGTGAAGAATATATCTTATTATAGTTAAGACAACTACATGGCGTCTTTAAGGACTCATTTTTGCACAAATCTGAGTTATGGTAAAAATCTGCAGCCTGTGATCATTTTGACTCGTTTCATCAGCAGCTTAAGAGGAAGTGAAAACACTAGGGGTGCACCGATTGCAGTTTTCTGGCTGATCACCGATCTCTAAAAAGTCTGACCTGCCAATTCTGATTTTGTCCGATACCGATTTTGTTCTATAAGCAACACTGTCAGGTGTTGTAAGGTCACAATGCACCTTCAATGTCCTATCTTATTTTATTGAAAAACATAACCCTTGAACAAACTTGTTTTAACTGGCATGAGGTTGTGCTCTGAAATATAAATGAAGTTTAGACAATTGTTGTTAAAACCACAAAAATTGCTTTCTTATGCAAGTACCGGCTGATTTCCCAGAATTAAGGAAATCTGGTCTGATAAATTGTCCGGCTGATTTATCGGTGCTCCCCTAGAAAACACTGAATATTAATTTCCAAAGAATTTGCTTTCCAGCTCCAGGAGTTTACTGTAACGTCACCTACAGAATAACCTTGAAATCGGTGGTTTTTGCTTTAGCTGGTCTTCATTGTTGAACCAGTATCAGTCCTGAATGGTGCAGAGACTGTAGGGGTTTCTTTTCTGTAGCAGTAGCCTCACAGTGACCCGAGGCACACGAAGGACCACATACAGACACAAAGCGACAGTCTTAACAACAGTTGGCCGTTGGCTCAGAGTTTTAACTGAGCCAAACATTTTGTTCAATAAAATGGCCACAAAGAGGTTGTTAGTCGCTGTAATATTCAGTGTGCTACATTGGCGACCCTGTTCGTGTCTCCCTAATTATAGCAGGCATGTGTATTTCAGGCTGCGGAGAATATAAACCCGTCCCTCATCACACTTTCTTTGCAGCCTAAAGTGGGCATGTTGTCAGGCTCACACCGGCCGACTAAGACTTCACATCCTTACTCAGACATGGGTGACAATGTGTGAAGTATTTCTGCTCACATCTTTGCATACAATACAATAGAAAGCTCCAACAAATATTGTGCCCTTTATAGTTTTGCTAATAAAGGTCAGTGAAGTGTAATCACATAATGGCTTTGAATGTTTAAAGACCCACTTGTTGGAGAGGTCAGCGCTGATGCTGCCTGCGTGTTTTGAATGAGTTTGCCTGAAGCACATTTGCATCGGTCCAGGTTGTGTACAGAGTGGAGCCTGGCTTTCATTAGGTCTGCAGAGAATTTGAGCCCATTATTTATTGTATTAAAGATTTAATTTCACCTTTTGTTTTTTGGTGCATGAATAATTCCTGACAGATGGTCTGGTTGTTGCTTCTTAACAAACGCAGGAGAATCAACTGTTGGCTTTCAGCAGATTTATTTCTCTTGGCTTATTTTCTTCTGCTGCCATCACACATTAAGTTTACAAAAACAACCATTTTTATTTTCTGTTTTACATGTTGTCAAAACCAATTTATCAAGTTATTTCAGCTTTGAATCGTCGTTTAAAACCAGATTTTTCTTGCATGTCTGTGCTTCATTGGTGTGTTGTACTTTCAACAGGCCGATCAGCTGACCGAGGAGCAGATTGCTGGTGAGCGCATACCTTAACTATGTTTGGCTTGTTGTATCTTTAGCAGCACATTAATTCACCTCCAGATTTGACAAACTTTGAGACCTTTCAAAGATTAAAGGAACCAGAAGTCAGAGCGGTAGTTGTTTGTTGAAGAATGGTTCTGGTTCTGGACATAATAAACCAATAATCATTCTTTAAGTTGTTTAAATAAAACGTCCAGTCACATAAAAAAAATCTGAGCCACATTTACGTAAACAGTTAAAACGTGCGTACAGTTATTTTCTAACATTTGAATGTTCACACTTTGTGCAGCTATAAAACAAAGTCTGTCGTTTGTTTTTTTTGTTTGTTTGTTTTTTACTTTTCGTTCATGTCAGGTGACTTAAAAATGTAAATGTTTAATACAGCTAAGGCTCGTGCCAACTGATTGCAGTATTTCTGTTAATGTGCAGAGTTCAAGGAGGCGTTCTCACTGTTCGATAAGGATGGTGACGGTACCATTACCACTAAGGAGCTTGGTACCGTGATGCGCTCTTTGGGTCAGAACCCGACTGAGGCCGAACTGCAGGACATGATCAACGAGGTAGATGCAGACGGTGAGGACAAAAAATTAATACAATTATCTTTTTTTTAATTAATTTATTTATTTGTTTTAGTGACTCTTCTAGATGTTCTTTCCACACCAGGCTAAACAATTTGTTCTTCTAGGTACATAATTTTGTAAATCAAAAGAAAAGTCGCCAAATAAAATAAGTTGCTTTGTGTGAAGTTGCATCAATTTTGATTGATACATTTTTTTATGAAATTGATGACCAAAGTCAAATAAACTTCCTAACTTGTTTAAATTTGTCGTGACTTTATAGGAAACGGTACGATTGATTTTCCTGAGTTCTTGACCATGATGGCCAGGAAGATGAAGGATACAGACAGTGAAGAGGAGATCAGAGAAGCTTTCAGGGTCTTCGACAAGGTAAGGGAGATATTAGTTATTACTATGTCTCCATAGGTGTGGGGGAAGTGTACCTGTGTCCCTCGAATTGGACCAGAACCGAACCGAGGTGGCTGTGGGGGAATTCGTCTTCTACAGAGCCGGTCTCAGCTTCAGTGAGCAGCCCGTTACTTTTACTGAAAGACGATCCACCTCCGTGGAGTCGCTGTGTTCACCTGGAGGAGACGCTCCGGTGCTTTGAAGCACAGCCGGACCGGAGCAGAACCGCGCTGCCGGACCGGAGCAGAACCGCGCTGCCAGACTGGGCCGCCGGACCGGAGCAGAACCGGGCTAGGGATATCTTCAGCCTCTTCGTCTCTCGTGCTTGGAGCGCCGGAGCCGAACGGAGCAGAACCGGACCGGACCAGTTGCCGACTTCAGCCTCAGCCTCTCCGGTCAGTCTCGCTTTTCACCGGGGGTGCCCCGTGCTGTCGGGTGCTGAGAAGCGGAGGAGCAGCGTGAAGGAGCGGGTCTGCGTGGTGCTCGAGTGAAGTTCGGAGTTTGTATCGGAGTTGCTCAGGCCTCCATCCAAACTCACCTGGATAATAATTAATTTTATTCCGGATCACGCTGATGGCCCCTGTTGACCTGAAACGAGCTAGGATCATGTCTTTCTCGTCAGGAGGATTTTCTGGCAGCTCGCTCTGCTATTTGCTGCGAATTATCTGTTTCTGTTTCGGCCTGTTGATTCTGGATCCAGCTTCTGTTTCTCATGGGAGCATCCATCCATCCATCTTCACAGGGGGGCCGGAGCCCCCCTCAGCCTGACTCAAACTGCAGTTGGGCCACCTCATCGGGTTTGTTTGCCCATTTGAACTGTGACGTTTTATGGTCTCAAACTTTTCTGCATCATTCATATTACTGTCACTATTTTCAGTTCTCAGATTATCTGGAGTCACTGAATCTTGTTAATACACCTGAATCTGTCCATCACTGCAACTTTCACTGTTTTTGGGTTCTGAATGATCACGTCTTCATTAATGTTTCTCATGGTTCGATTATGGGGGCTAATTGTCACACTGTTAACTCCTGTAATTACACATCAGTCACAAAAAACTCGAGAAAATGTCTGATAATAATGTTGTTACTGCTCTCAGGGATTCAGCCTAACCCTGGACCCCCGACTAATTATAGCACACCAATTGACTTTAAAAATGCCTCTGGGCTTCATTTTCTGCATGTAAACGCTCGTAGCCTTCTGAAAAAACTTGATGCTGTGAAATTCCTGGTCAGTTCTTCTGGGGCTGACTGAACAAATCTGTAATGAATAATGACGTGGCAATCAATGGATTTAACATCTACCGCTGTGATCGTCAAAAAAGGTGGGGTGGAGTCATTATTTACATTAGAGATTCTCTGGTTTCAAGTCTTGTCTTCCAAAACAATTCCAAACCAGTTTGAAGCCTTATCTGTAAACATCACCTTGAATGGAGGCCAGGTTTTAACTGTAGTCTGCTGCTATCGCCCACCCTCAGCTTCTCCTGAGGCATTAAATGCCATCAAGGAATTCCTTGGTAATTTAAAATTCACAGAGGTCTTTTTGGCTGGAGATCTCAACATTGATTGGTGTAAGTCGACCCCCCTCTGTGACAAATTCAAGGAATGTTGCTTGTCTTTTAATTTAACCCAACTGATTAACTCCCCCACTAGATTAAATAAAAGCCATCCTGAAAATTCCTCCATCTTAGACCTGTTTCTAACTAATATGCCTCACAAATTCCCTGGTACAGGTGTATTTGCTGATCTTTTGAGTGATCATTGTGTAGTATGACAATATAGGGAAATATATATGCATACTTTTCACGAGTTCCTCATCTTTCTGACTGTGTAATGTCGTGCATTGAATTTAACAGAAATGTAACGAGAGACGTTATTTATCTTTGACCCATCAAAATGAATGCGGTCATTTATTTTCAGAATCAAAGTTTAACATCAAACATTTACATTAATTTGGCAAAATATGAAAATAATAACAGACAAGTTTCACAGAAAAGGGACATCGATCACTCGGCGGTGATCGAGGACTTTGCTTCAGATATTTCTAAAATATCTGTACTGATTTTATGAGAAAGAGGAGAGTTTTAAGATGAAATGGAGATTTATCTTACAGAGAAATATGTGAGGGAATTAATCTGTTTGACCAGAAATTGCACGCTCCATCAGATATCAGCTTGCCCACGGTACACTTGGTCGAAAATAGAACCATCTACCTTGATGATGAACTCAGCGTCGGTGTAGGTTCCTTTCTGACTCTTTTCAGCGTCTCCGTGAGAACTACCAAACCCTCGGGGAGTCGTACGTGGTTTTCAAACAGAAATTATAATCCCAAAACGTCTCTGGATCATCCTGAATGCGTTTGCACCCAAGAACCATGAACTCCTTTCATTCTTCAGAACTTCTCAGACTCTAACAGAATCTTTCAACTCCAGCAACTCTCTAGTTCTTCATCTCCTCAGCCTCTGGAACTATCAGACTCCAGACTCTCCGGAATTCTCCTGAATTCCGAATTCTCCTGAATTCTCTGAATTCCCTGCATGAACTGGGAAGTTGCCACATTTTAAATGGGTCGACTTCCGGTTCATTTGAGAGCTTTTGATTGGTCGATGGACCAGAAATAGAGGTGTGGTTTGTGATGTAAGATGTTATCATAAGTCAAGGATTGTTTTCAACATACAGAAAAGATTATTGCAGACGACCAGACTTCGTGGAGTCTCACGCTGTTATATCTTCTCAAATAGTAAAACATGACATTTCTTCTCAGTAAACATTTTAGTTGACCGAAAACCGACCTTTAACATACTTACATTACTTGGCTCATTTCAGACAGAGAATCAAGAAATGCATATTAACCTGATTTCTTCTTTGAATGAGGAATAAAAATCATTACTTACTGTTTATGTAAAATAAAAATGAGTAATTCTCTTCAACCTGTAAGCATTGAATGGAACTAACACAATTTGATTATCAAACATTTGTAAAACAGTAAATGATTATAGAGAATTGTCTTTTCTGCTTGATTAATTCAAGAAAGAAAGTCACCAGATGGCTCAGACTGTATTCAGATCAATGAAATAACAGTCCCTGTCCATCTGATAGATTTGAGGTCATCAGGGTCAGATCAGGGTCAGATCAGGTTCACTACA